ATTACAATCCCTGCAAGGTCTTAATAGGATGAATTGGGTTTGTGTGGCAAGGTTTTGGTAGTGGGAGGCCTACAGTGGTGGCTTCTGTGAGAAGGAGAAGGCTCCAGGGTGAACCCTTCACTGGCCAAGGCCAAGTCCATCAGCGATGGGAGTAGCACCTCTGGGGTAACATATTTAAGAAGGGGGGAAAAAACCCTGTGTGACAGCAATTGGAGCTGGGGAGAGGAGTCCGAATATATGAGAGAAATAACTCTGAAGGCACTAAAGTCTGTGAAGAAGGATGAGGGGGATGCCATGCTGACTCCCCTGGGGAGGAAGGAGGAGCAGAGACAACACAGGACTAACTGACCACAACCCCCATTCCCTGTCCTCCTGCACCCCAGGGGGCAAGGAGGTAGAGAAAATCAAGAGTAAAGTTTAGCCCAAAAGGGCAGGGGTGGGGGAAGGTATTTTCAAAATTTGGTTTTATTTCTCATTACTCTACTCTGATATGATTGGTAATAAATTAATTTTTTTCCCAAGTCAAGTCTGCTTTGCCCATGTCCAGCCAGGATCAACCCACCCCACAGGATTCTGGTTTGGCTTTTGCAGCCGTAGATGAAGACAAAAATCATGATTATGACATTAACTTGTGTTCTAACCTGAAATGAAGCACGATACAATGCACCTTCTCCCTTTTTGCCTCCACCCTGCTTGCCCTTCTTCCTTTCTCAGGGTGGTGAGCGACTTCTCTTAAACGAACTGCAGACTCTCCACATGCTTGCCAAGGCCTGGTTTCTACAATTACCTAGACTAAAACACCACTGTGTGAACAAAAATGGTCTGTTAGGAGATCTGATTTGCTTGCCACTTCTGTGCCTTCTAACACTTAATTACTCTTTTCTCCCACTGAACCACTTTCATCTCTCCAACACTTTGTATGCTTTGACTTCTCTCCCACCTACTCATGGCTGCTTTGCTCTAATTAGAGATGCAAACCAAGATGCTGTCAGCTCACAGTTGCACATGCAAGTTTATAGGAATGAATATCATATATGGGATGGGTGTTTTTCATTTATCTTCAGGGATTTTATGCCATTTTAACAAGGTTATTTAAAAAGCACTGAACTATTGAAGGAATGTGTCACAATTGCTCCATGATTACCAGCACATCTTTTTACAGACAGTAATACTTCTCAGAAAAACTGTTCTGGATGATTTAAAATGACCATGTGTGCCACATGTATATGGTTACTACTAGCATATGCAAATTTATTTAACATTTGTAGCTATAGGTTGTTTTCTTGTATTCTTCTCCAGCTCCTAGTTGCTGTAACTGAAGGAATGAATCCTTCTTGCTTATAGCTTTATTTTTCAGTTGTTATTGTTTGACCTTTTCCAAAAGATTTTTTTTCCTAAATGTTTTATTTAATTATATGTGGATTTAATTTGTAGACTGTAATTTAGGGCTTTCACATAAGTCTGCTTGGAAATATATTTCATTCTAATATATGTTTGCATGGATTTTGTTCTATTTTTTTATTTAGGAGCTTTTGAAAATGGAATTGCAGAAGGCAGCATCAATCAGTCAATAGGAAGAATAAAGGCTATTCGTTTATCGATCAGTTCTGATTCCCCTGTCTGGGCAATACTTAGTGAGGTAAGCATAATAATAAAAGCACTTTTATTATTCATTGTTAAATGAGTTTTGGTTGTTCCAATCATATAGTATTGATAATCATGACTTCTGTTTAATTTTAAATTAATTCTGTGTGGGGAAACTCACAAAAGTGGAGAATTATATTAATTATTCAGGGGAGAAGTTAAATTTATGTCACAGAAAGTGCTGGAAATGCTTAAATGGGATGATTCTCCAGTTTTGCAGTGCTGCAAGTGTAGTTGCTAGGATTTGGGTCTTGATTAAAAAAGCTTTTTTCAGTCACCATCTTGTATATTAATTATAATATGTCATTATATTATGTAATTTTCAGATGAACATGTGATTTTTTAATTCTTCAAGTTTTTCCCAAGTGTTTGAATATCTGTGAGCCCATAAATAGAAAATACTCAGCAGAAGTCACTGAAGAGAATTACTACAGCCTTAAACTCTAGCCATAGCTGGAAGAAGGGAAAAGCTAATGTCTTAGGAAATGTTTCTGCAGATTTTAGAAAATAATAAGATTTTGATTTTTTTCAGGTATTTATCAAGACATCTGAAAACTGAAAAAAACCCACATTTTTGATGTGTTGCTTGTTACAGACTGTTTGAAAACAAGGCTGACAGCAACAAAAAAAGAACTGGGTAAAAAGACCAATTCCAAACCCATGTCATTCTTAATACGGTCTATTATGAAAGAGTTGAGATCTCTTATGTCTTTATAGAAAAAGGTATAAAGAACCCAATTATGTTTGTAATTTCTGTAAAATGTTGTTGAGTAAGGTGTCATCTATAAAAATCTCACCTTAGCTTGGCAACATTCAACATATATAGTTATAAAAAATTGATAAGGCATTGCAGGCTGTCTCAGGGACTAAAACATAAATGTATAACAAATTTCATCAGAAGTAAAAATATGGAAATTTTTGGAAAATATTAGGAACACAATGTTCAACTCCACTAAAAACACTGCTCAGTTTTGTAGGGAAAGGAGAACTGAAGGAAAAGCTGTCAATATTCATTGCAAGTATTCAAAGAAGTCCACAGGAACTGTTTAACATTATGAAAATGGATCTCAAACTTAACATAAGTGTGTTTCAGTCTTAATGTAGCATAAGTTATGTTTAATATTTTTTAAATGAAAAGTGCCTCCAAGTTACCATTTGAATAATTTTATACTTAAACAGATATTGTTTGGAAGATTGTAAAACTTTTCGATGAATTTTGTGTTGAATTAACTACAGGAAATAATAAGGGTATTATGTGTAACTATATTTTTGTAAAAAGAAAATCTATTTAAATAAAATTTTGGATCCTGTTGTTTGATAATCACTGTGTAGTCATATTTAAATCCTGGTCACAAGTCGAAATTTGACAAAAATTTGAAAACAGCAATCTCATTTGACATATTTCTAGGAAAATACAAACCACCTTGGGCATCTGTCTGTAAACAGGCAGAATTCTAGTATCACATCCTGAGCACTTGAAGGAAGACAGTGCCTTCATTCCCCTGCACAGGCATTGCATCCTAACAGCAGGAAATTAATTGCAATGTACAGCTCTGCATCGATTTGTATTGAATGGGTTACATTTATGTAATATTGTATTCTTAATGCAAGAGTGTTTTTCATTTAGAATGAGTTGAAATCAATTGTCTTAAATTAAAAGAGTTAAGAAGAGGTTTGTTTTTTTTTAAAGACCACCTCTAAAAATGTCTTGATAAAATTACTTGCAGGTTTATAATTTATTTTTTTTATATTATTTATTTAGACTATTATTTACAGGATTCTTTATATACTGTGGTGCTATATATATATGTGTGTAGATGTATATACATACATATATGTACATGTATTTCTTGGACCAAATATTGCAGCCTTCATTATGTTAAGAGTTTAATGCCAGTTAAGAATCAATGCAATAATCCAGCATCCTTAGAAATACACTGAGCGACACCTTTATCCATCAGCCCTTACAGTGAAAACATAAAATCTTATTTTGCCATTGGTTTCGCTGCAGCAGACTCACAAGCTGGGAGTAGTGTCTGCATTCAGGGTGCCTTACACTCACTTGTTACAAGGCAGTCACCGTGAGAAGGAAATTTTAGGGCGATTATTAAATCAGTGAAAACACGGAAAATACTAAGGCAATAGGTTTTGCTACCAAAACCTCTTATTTTCACAGTGAAATGAGATTTCACTCTAACTCATGAAGCGTAATTTCAAAAAGATAATCAGAATACCTGAAATTATGTTAGGAAGTGATTGGACTTTTACAAAATATTGTTTAAATGTAATTTTTCATCCTGTGCTGCCTGCTTTGTGCTTCATTCATTGTTTCTGGTTTTACATCTTTTACATAACCATTACAGTCACGGAATACACTTCCATCCCTCTGATGTAAATGAGGTTTTAGTTGACATCGTACATAATGAATGCTTGCACGTGAACCTTTAAAGTAAAATTTTGCTTAATCCTGATCCTTCCCTGTGCTTTCGGGAGCACAGAGGTTTCTTGCACAGTCTGCCAAACCACAGCCAGATTAAAGGCTGCCAAGAGGAAGCTTTGATTCAGGTAATGGATCCAGGGAATTAAGGATCTTCCCCTAACTTTACAGGTGACTGGTTTTGAAGTCTAGGCATTGTGATTGCAACTTATAAAACCAAAGGCAATAAATGAGAAAAACAACTCTGAAAGGAGTTTCAGATTCTGTATTGGATCACCAGGCCCCTTCAGTAGGAAATTGCAATTCAGTACTTTCACGTGGTTAAAAACATAGTCTCAAAAATATTGACCACCTCGAGCTCATTGTACATACACCTAACCAGGTTAAATGCCTGTGTGGGAAGAAAGCTTATTCAATATTAATATTGATATTTAATAATATTTGAATAATTGTGCATTAATATATACTATTAATATAATATTACTGTTGAATAATATCAATATTGAACAAGCTTATTCAATGTTAATAATGGTTCATTTAACCCATGATTTTCACTGGAGCACACAATTTCTCTGCATGGCCTCGGTTCTTGTCTTAAATCTTTTGAAGTACTTTTGAAAGGGGGCACACTGACATTCGTCTTCTTTAGAAAAGGCAGCTGAGAACTGAGCTTCGGTTATTTCTTTAAAATGTGTTTATTTCGCTCGGCTCAGCGACCCCGTATATTGGGGTCATCAAACACGTATAATTGGACCGCCAAAGGAGCCTCCAAATGTAATGAAGGGTTTTATTAATTTGAGGTTAGTGGTGGGGGAGAAGCCCTTTTTCTGGGCTGAGCACTGGCCGGGGGCGTGCGGAGCAGGACGATGTGTGACCCCCCCCCGTCCCCCTGTCCGCGGCCATGACGGTACAGCCGCTCTCACGGGCGCCCGTGGCCGAGGGGAGGGGCCGGCCCCGGGCAGCGGCCGATTGGCTGATTCGCCGCGGGAGGGGCGGGCCGCCAGTCGCGCACCGAGCCACCATTGGCTCTCGCCTCACGGCGGGCGCCGCCGATTGGCGCGGCTCCCTGCCCGTCTCCCGCGCCCCCACGCGCGCTCGGCTGGGCCGTGCCGCGATTGGCCGGGACGCGGCGGCGCGGCGCGAGCGGCGGCACCTGCTCCCGCTCGCGCTCCCGCAGCCCCGGTAGCGGCGGGGGCGCCGCGCGCGTGCGCGGCCGGGGATGCGCCGGGAACATAGACCCGGCCCCGCTCCCGTTTCCCGCTCCCCATCCCCATCCTGCCGCCGGTGACCGCCCGCCGCGGATCGGAGGACGCCAGGAGCACCGGTAACCGCCCGCCGGGGGGCTAGGAGAGCCGGCAGCGCCCGGGGAGGGAGAGTGGCGTCGCGGTGCGTCGCGGTGCTTGGTAACGAGGGCGGCGGCGGCGGGAGGTGCGTGTGGGCCCCGTGTGGCGAGGGGAGGGGGCGGCGGTGGTTCCCTGGCCTCACCCCGCTCCCCTCGGCCCTCACGGCCGGCGGCGGGTCCCGAGGGTGGGTTGGGGGGAGCGCGGTGATCCCCCCGCGGGGGTGGGTTTGGGGCCCCGAGGCCCCGCCGGGCACGGGGAGCGCGGCCCCGCAGCGCCTGCGGCCCTCGCTCTCCCTGCCAGCTGTCCCGAAAAGCGGGTTCGTGCTGGGCGCTGTCTGAACACCGAGCGGCCGCTCGGTTGACCCGAACTTATATTTTTTTTTTATTTTAAAAATATTTTTAATTTTTTTTTTTTTTTTAAATTGTAAAATAACGCCTTCCTGGAGGTTTTAGCAGCAAAAACCCTCGAGCAGGCACCTTCAGGAGCACAGCATTGCAGCGGGAGTAGCTGCTGAGTTACACATTTGGCACCCAGTCCAGTGCGGTGTGTTTGACGCTTCGGCAAACGAGGGAGGGAGGTACGGCTTTCACACCAAACAAAGGGAAAAATAAAAAGATGTGTAAGAATTCTTGAGTGTTTTTCACGGAGCAGTTGCAGCTGGATGTTGTCTTTGGTCAGGTCGATGCCAGTGCAGCAGTTTGGGGGAGGTAATAAGGCAGCACGTGGTTATGGATGGAAGAAGAGGTGGGGGGGAAAAAACCTCCACTTTTTGTAGCCCTGGATGGAATTGCTGTTTGGCCCTGGGGAAAGCCCATGTGTTGATACTGCATGCAGGAGCTTTAGACCTTGGAGTGAGAGAGACTGCTAATGGTTGGCTTGTTCCCTTTCTGCTTGAGAATGCAGAGCTCTGAGACTTGCATGAAAAAGGCATGACCCTCTTCAAAGTCCAAAGAAAAGTTAGTAATAATCTAAAAGATCCTGATCTCTGTTTAGTTCTGCATAAAATGGAGCAATGGTGCCACTACCTTAATGGCATGTGTAGAATGTGCAGCAGGTCACAGTGCAGAGGTCTGAAGGTTGATGTGCTTGCACCATCCAACCATCTGTGGAAATCAAATCATTCAGGTGGGAAGGGACCCCAGGAGGTGTCTACTGTGGCCCGGGCAGCCCTGAGGCCAGTTCAGCTTGCTCTGACCTTTGTGTGGTCTGTGTGGAAGACCCCAAGGACTGAGCCTGGGCAGCCTGTACTACTGCTTGCCTGCCCTTATGGGGGAAAAAGTTCTAATATCCAGTCAGAATATGTTTTCAGTTTATGTCTGTTGTCTTTCTTAAATATTAGTATGTCTCTCAGAAACACCAGCTCATTTCTTGAGGTGCAGTGTTCTGCTGATGTTGCAGCACTGTTGCTGATCCCAAGAGCAGTAGTACTGCTGGCTCAGATGTCCCTTCTGATGTGTGGCAGTGCTGTTGTTACCCATGGTAAACAGTGACCAAGCTATGCAAAAATTTAAGTTTAAAATTACAGGTCTGGCAGAATTGTCAAGGTGTTTATCTAGAGAAAGATGAATATTAGCTGCCCATCCCTAAAGGAGAGATTGGGAATCCTGATTTGGAGGTGCAGTTATTCCAGGACAGATTTCTATGTCTCAGTTTCTATGAATGCAGATTTTCTATCCAGTTCATGGGTCATACAGAACTATTGGCTCAGCTGGTCAGACCATGGTGCTAATGGTGCCAGGGGTGTGGGTTTGATCCCTATATGGGCCATTCATTTAAGAGTTGGATTTGATGATCCTTGTGGGTCTCTTCCAACTCATAATATTCTGTGATTCTGTAAAATGCTGGCAAGATTTATGGTTTTTCAATTATCTATTTGCTGTAGCTGGCTGAAGGATGGTTTGGAAGTCACTGGTCTTTGGTGTTTTGGCAAAACTGCCAGTAAACATGTATGGGGTTTGTGTGAGAGCCATAGTCTGGGACAACTTGCTTTGTTCTGCTGAGGAAGTTTTAACAGTGAGGATCCTTCTGGCTTGGTTTTATTGTCACCTTGAAGAAAGAGTAAGAAAAGTTTTTCATAGATCTTCATGTGTTAATTAAGAAAGTTCAGTAGGTTTTAAAGACCATTAAATGTGTAGTGTGAAATTCTATTTTGAGACCACAAATTCTTGATTTATTTTACATTCTAAGACTGTAATGCTGGCAGAGTTCACAAAAATAAAGGATGTGATGGGATTGTCTAAAACCATCTTTGCCTGGCAATTGAGCGATGACTGCAGTTGGTCTTGATAATGCATTTTGGTGTTTCTGGGATGATTTTAGAAGTGTATCAAAAGGTCAAAGGTTAAAATGAGCCTTCTCTTCTTGAAGGAAGAAGTAAGAGATCCAATTGAAGACTGAATGAAATTAGGATAAAGTCCTAGGCTAGGACCAGGAAGCAGCGATAAGACTCGGCGTGAACGAAGTGAAAGCATCAGGAGTTTTGGAAGGGAGCTGTGTAGAAAGGTGAGTATTAGTCTGATTTCTTGGATGCCCTTGTTATTCTGTGTATGTAACAAAAGTGGATGGGGCTAATTACAGTAAAATTACAGCTATGTAAGTGAAAAACATTTTGGATTATGCACAATGTACACCTGTAATGTATTGACAAAGAAAGGTGTATCTCTTCACCTACTTTAGGAAAAGAGGAGACCACCTGCATGAAAAACTAGCTAAAGGTAAGCAAGCTTTATACTAAAAAAGCAAGTCTGATGCCTGGTTAATATATGACACTTTAGGTAGGAGCTAAGGAGTCCCAGAAGGTATTGATATGAAATTCTTTGACTGTTTTTATTCTAATATAATCATTAAGAAACACAACAGTGAAGGTGGTACAACGAAGTGTGACACCCTCCAGGCAAAGGTGTTCAAAATATACCATAAAATTCAATGTTCACCATGGTAAACTGAATTACTTTCAATCTTAAGGGCAAGATTATTTTAAGTGCTAGAATTGGCCCAGGAGGTCTATGAATTAACAACATCTGTAGTTTTTAACTAAAATTCTAAAAAATCAAATACAAAAACCACAGAAAAATTTGCAGATAACTGTTGAAATGTATCACTGTGGTAACAACTGAGAAAAGAAGGAACCACAGACCTGCCATCCTCAAGCAAGGTTATAAAGTTGCCACAAGGAATCGCAGGGATTATGGATAGTAGTGTGGGGCAAAAAAAGAATGGTAATGTGGTTAATGTAGTTTTATGGAAAATAAGTGTTAGTCCCAAAAAGAGAGGCTTTTGATTATTTCCCAATATTGACCTAGTACTAGTGTGTAAAATATTTCTGTATGATACTCCTGGATTTTGGCTCTAAATATAATCAGTGCAGTCAATATTAATTTAATAGATCTTATTTTTTTTCCTTATTCCCTTTTTTCTTTTTGGATATTTGTAGCACAATCATGCTGGGATATGAGTTTATTTAGCCCTGATACTGTTTGATCTCTACATGTGTGGCTCAATAGAACTTGCAGGTATTAAAAAATGAATGATGAATAACTATTGGTGCAATTCTAATGTTTGAATTGCTTAGCAAATCTGATAAACCCAGGAAGGAAGGAAGAGACTCACACTTCCAGTATAAGATAGTATCTAGAATTGCTGGGATATTCAGAGTTGTAGTGGTAAACAATTTAATCTCTAAGGGATGATGATTTAAGTGAGATGGTGGCTGCTATCTCAGGGGCAGAAAGCACCTCAGCAGCAGAGTATTCAGTATGACCAGTAGTGGCTAAAGGTAACGTACTGTTTGAAAATGTCATACAACAGCAAGTTAAATATCAGTTTTTGTCTTTATTTTTAAGCTTACTGTGAATAGAATTAATAAGAACCAAAGGATAAACACCTTTCCAGAGGTATCTAGGATCTGTCTTTGTTCTGTTTCCATATTCAGACAAAAACAATTTTGGAAAGAGGTGTTTTTTGCAAGACCTTTGAGGAAACTTGCATAGGTATGTCCTTGACAATGCACTGCTCCAAACCACTGGATACTCCAACATAAATGTGAATTTGTATGTCTTACAGATGTGAAGCAAAAAATACAGGGCAACAACGTGTTCTTTTTCACAGCAGATCACATTGAAAGGCTGGGGCAGTTGTCTGCTGTTGACATTCATACTTACACAGATTAAAGGTTTTCACGTTTCCCTGAAATCAGAAATGTATTTGTATTTAGGCTTGACCTTCTGCTTTAACTAACTTAAACTTTAAAATCATTGGAAAATTTTGAAACAGAAAATATTTTCTGAAACAATCTTACACTTTCTTTGGACACTTAACAGCTGGAGTTGATATAAGCTCTGCGCTCATCTAAACATAGTCATGGGAAAAAGAGGCAAATAGAAATGTGTAATTCTGGCAGTGGATAATAATACATCCTAAACATAACGATTTTATTTGCCCTAATGAAAGGGATGTTACTTATTGCTACATTGTAGAGACTGATTCAAATTGGTTACTTGTTCAGATTGTTAAAGAATGGGAAAATAAAAGCAATCTCACCTAATTCTTAAAAAAAACACATATACTGCAGTCAAATTCTTGCTAAATTTGGCAAGGTAAGGGAACAGGCTACAAGCACTTCCACAGGGACAACAAGAAGTAAAAGAGAGTCTGAGTCAGGGCTTTGTAGTAAAAAAAAAAAAATTCAAATTAAGAAATAGCACTTTCCTAAAATATTATAGTGACAATGCTTTCTGATAGTTGTTTCCTATTGTTTTAATGTGGTTTTTTCTCTTGTAGATAAAGTCTGGGGTAAAATTAAAATAGTATTGGTAATATCCTTGCAAAAATATTTAAAATTTAAAACTTTCAGTTCTTCAGATAACCAAGATGCACTTCCAGTGGGACTGGCTGTGCTTGGGTGTCCTGCTAATTAGCTCAGTGACTGCAGAAACTGAAAATGAAGAAAATCTGGATGCAGATGTTGAAGTGGAGGATTTTGACATGCAGTCCCAAGAAACTGAGGTGGACAGAGATAAACCTTCCATAGAGGTAAGATTACAGAAGTCTTCAGTTAAGTCTGGTTAAATACAAAATGCATAGTTATAACTATGAGAAATTGGTGGACAAATGTATTTTAAAAAGACTAAATTAAAATGCAGTTGACAACTGAGTGGGTGTCAAACCCAGCAGTCTTTCAGTTGCTGTGTGTGACATGTAGGGCAAACTGAAAGAATGATTCTCTTATGCCAAAGTGTAAAATCTCCTGCCTGTGGTGGATAGTCGAGAAAAAGGTTTTACTTCAATCTAGATACAGAACCTTTTGATGCAAGTCCTAACATGCTTTTTCTAGAGAAGAAAGCAGAAAGCATCTGTCAGAAAGCATCTGAAATTTTGACTTTCGACCAGTTTCTGGATTTCATCAGTCACAGCTGCTTTTTGTCACTGTCTTTATTCTCAGAAAATCTTCCTTTTGTTATGCTGTACTTCAAAATAGATGCAAATAGCTGTTGGCAATATTAATAACTTATTTTTTCAACTCTCTGTTGTGTAGCCCAATTGTAATGTGCTGAGTAGACAGGAAAACAGAAGAATGGAAAACATGTATAGAAAGAAATAGGGAGGGAGCAGAGAACTGGTGCAAGTTCAGTAAATTTTCTGGGGTTTTGTTATAAATAAGATGTAACAAAGGTTTAGTTATGAGCTTTGAACAACTTATAAAATTCACAGTTGTGAAATTGTTCAGTGTTCGAGGGATGCACCCAAAGTATTGAAATAGGGGTGGGGAGGAAGGGGTTTTATGCTGCTAGGTATTTCTAATGAACAAAATCTGTTGTTCTGCCTGGGTGGATTACTTCTGGAGGTATGATAGTGTATTTCAAATGAAAAATTGTAGTTTATGTTAGAACATGTATCTGTACTCGTCTCTTAGGTTGTGTACCAGACTCCAAAGCCAACCGGGGAAGTGTATTTTACAGAAACCTTTGATGGAGGATTGTCTGGGTAAGCTTATGCCTTAAAAGGATAAATTTTTACTTTCATCAATTTAAATTACAGTGGCAGGACTTATTTTGTATTCAGTTTTCAACTAGTATCCTTATAAAAATTAATTGTTACAGGGGTTAGAATTGGGTAGGCTGTTAATGCTTGCTCCAGATACATCAGAATGTTAAGATGGACCTTTAACATTTCAGATATGTTGCTATTTTTTTGTGTGTTTTAAGGAAGCTTTTAATAAACTCTGGGTTTGTGGACATTAAGAAAAATAATATGAAGATTTAGCCAGTTGAGTTTAACTAGCTGAAAGGTGAAGTGCATAGCACTTCAGTAGCATTACACTTCAGTGCATTACACTCCAGTAGCAAGCCCTTTCTTCCTTTTCACATGATCTTAGGTATGTGTAAAAAGGCAGCACCTTCACCATTATAGATAAAATCTCTATTGGAAAAGACTTTTTAAGCAGATTTTTATTAATTTATTTTATCACATCCCATACTCA